CCCCCCAGCCTCTGTCCATGGCAGCAGAGGATGGCTGCAGAGGGAGGGAACAGCCTCTTCCTGCGGTGAGCCTGGGCCTGCCCTAGGCATAGACTGCTTTGTAGCTGCCTCCCCCTAATGCTGTTGCCTCTACCAGAGGGGGCAGGCGTCACCGTGGAGATGGGATGGTGTTAGGAGGAACTGGCTTTTAAGCTGTCTTCCCCCAGCACCAGATCTTGCTTCTCCTCACTTGCTGCCTCTGATACACTGGCAGCAAGGGCGGAGAATGCAAGTAGTTGACTACTCAACTATTCTCTTACATCCCTTAGCCATATATGGTAACTACTTTCCATTTATTTTGAAATTCTGAATTTCATTTTCAGTTATGTCACAGGACTGATGTGTTATCCATCTTCACCTTTAACACACTACTGCCAGTGCAGCTTGCCCTGATTTACACTCGTGTAAATCCCGTTTTACCCTATTGCAGGGTATCTAAACTTGGGGGTTATGTAGTGTAGCTACACCCATGTAGTCTGGACCCATAGAAATGGAGTTATTTTCTGTACCACCAGTTTTGTCTTCTATGGCATTGAAATAATTTTCCTCATCATGGCATGAAAAAGATCAAACACTTGCCCATCTCATGCAAGAGTGTGTTTGGCAGCAGTAGTAGAGGATGTGAAGAGTGTCTTATTCACAAGAACAAATCTGGTGGTAGCAGCAGCTGTCTCTGAACTGAGCCAGAAATATTTGAAAAAAAATACATAGATTGTGTCCTCACATTAAAAAGTTGTTGTTCTTGATGTTTTGTCATATATGTGCTATTTGACAGGCACTCTGCATTCCCTGCAAGTAGAATATTGCCGTGCTTCACTTGCATAATTAATTAGCAGTCATTTTTGCGCAAGAGGCTTTTATGCCAAAAGGAACTGTGCAGATGGCTTCTTTTTGCACAAAAACCCCCCCTGAATGAGGAATAACTCTACAGGCAAAAGCCCTCTGTTCTGTTGATTTACTGTGGGTTTTTTTGGGTTTTTTTGCACAAAAATGCACTTGAGGTGTAGTTTTTGAGCAAAAATGGCCGTTTTTGTGCAAAAACCTTGTAGTGTAGACATAGCCTAAGTGTTCAATTGAAGAGCTCAGAAAGTCAGGAGGAGATGAGGTAGTTTAAAAACTGATGATTTTGTGTATTTTTTCTAACTGGCTTTTCTTGAATTATGTTCAAACAGACTGTTTATGCATTGCCCACCCTTGCATTTGCCTTTGTGTGCCACCCATCGGTCCTTCCAATTTACAGCGAACTTAAAGAGTAAGATTTATTGTTTGATTGTTTAATATGGACTGTTTAAAGCAGTGTTTCTCAACCAGTGGTTCGAGTACCCTTGGGGTACTCAAAAGAAGACTGGGAAGGGTATGTCAACACAACTGAAATTTGGAGAAAACTGAATTTTTGTTTAAAGTTTTACAGCACTTTATTATTTTCCTACTTTTTACACTCAAAAATTTAATTGCCTGCCCAGCTATGATTAAGTTGTTTAAGCAAATGTGTTGCAATGGTAGAAAAAAATGTGTGTGTCTAAAAACTGGAGGTACTTATATTATTATTATTTTTTAAAAGGGGGTATTTTATAAAAAAAAGATTGAGAAATACTGGTTTAAAGTGTAAATTGTCAGTGTAAAGTTGCTCTGCATCACCCTCATAATACAAAAGAAAGGTAGTTTAATAAAATCAGAAAACAAAGGAGCACTGCTGGAAGCTATGTAGATCTGGGTTCCCTATGGGGTAACATGATATCCCAAAGGTTTTCTTTAGAATGACACAGCTATTTTGGAAAAAATTAAAAAAAAAAACCCCACAAATAGTCTTGCAGCACCTTAAAAGGTTATCATAAGCTATTCTGGAGAGCCAAGCCATGCAAAAATTATTACAACTTACAAGATAGAACCTTGTTCTTCAGCTGATGCCATTGATTTCAGTGTAGCAAAAAGCCTATCACAGTAACAGGTTGTGCTTTCATTCCATTGTGTTTATAAACTACATCAGGTATAGTTAAATGATGTGACTGGGACCAATAACTTTTTTTTAATGTAAGAAAGATGAAGATGAACCCCCCCACATCAACGAATGTACCTCTGTCCCTGGTTTAAGGAGAGCAAAGGGACAGGAGCAGGCAATAGAAGTGGTGACCTGATTTGCACTGGTGCAAGTTACAATAAGCCCCCTGATGCTCTGACATCTATCAAGGATGGGCAGCAAGGGTCAGGGAGCAGCAACTGGCTCCTTGAAGCTACTCTTTCTAGGGGTACATCTACACTGCAGTGCTATTTCTGGATACCTATCCCGCATCTTCACAGCAAGCCTGCTGCTTTTAGGCTCGCTACTCCTCATTCTACGAGGAGTAAGGGATGTTTCAGAATAACGCTTTATTTTGAAATTTGGCGCTGTGTAGACAGTGTTAAATGATGAAATAAGCTATTTAGAAAGAGCATCAAAATAAAATACGCAATTTGAGTATTTCAAATTGTGTATCTTATTTCAAGTTACAGTACAGTGTAGACACTCCCCAGCATAGCTCAGATCTGGTGGAGAACCAGAGCAGTTATATATATACCTTAGATGGAAACATTTGTTGTCATGAAGAAAAACTACTCCTAATTGTCTGTGTGCCATTTTCTCTCTTTACTGTGTATTACTGTTTTGCATTACTGCTTCAAGGCCAAAAAGCCACACTTGTTTAAGTACCTAGAAGTTACCCAAGTTTCATCAGTGCTCAGACTCCTGCAGTTCCTATCGTTGTCAAACGATATTTGTTGAAATTCTGGCCACTCAATAAAGTGTCTAACTTGGAGCTGTTGGGTCTGGGTGTTGGTGCTTCTATTTTTGGTATCAAAATATGGGTTCAGAGTCCCAAGTTTGGGAACCCAAGTTTAATAATTTCAAAATAAATGTCAAAAATGAAATGTTTATAGTTCAACTTAAAAAAAATAAAACTACAGCAGTTCTCTTTAGCAGGGGACACAGACCACTTTTTGCAAACATCTAGAATGCTGATATTCTGTTGTTTACTGGTCCATTAATTTGCACTCAGAAGCAGTTCCAGGCTTTGCTGCAGAGATGATACTGCTAGGGGCCCTAGACTGGGATTTGGGAAGGACAGTATTCACAGAATGGTCATTATGTTCTCTTTGCTTAAAATCCTAGCAAGATCAGGAGGCTAGCAATGACTTTTGGGATCCCAAAAGTATCCCAGTCATTCTTCTTCAGTATAGCTTGTGGGGATCATTTATTTACATGAAGAAGAGACACACTCTAGAGTCTCTTTAATGCTAATTATTTTATTTGTGCAAAAGTTTATACATTTCTAAAACAGTTATTCAAGTGCAGCCATTTATTATGTTTTCTTCTTCTTCCAGTCGCTCACAGAAGAGAATGCAAATGGTTTCCAACATCTCATTTTTTGCCATGTTTGTTATGTACTTCATGACTGCCATTTTTGGCTATTTAACTTTCTATGGTAAGTAACCAGTTTATGCTGATCTAAATTTTCAAGGTCAGAAAGAATCCAGATGAAATCAACAAGACTGAAAAAGGAGAATCCCACTAACATACGTTACTAGACTTTCCAAAATAATTTCTCTAAACTTTACATAAGAATGGCCATACTGTATCAGACCAAAGGTCCACCTAGCTCAGTATCCAGTCTTTGACAGTGGCCAATGCCAGATACATCCGGGGAAATAAACAGAATAGGTAATCATCAAGTGATCTATTCCATTTTCCCATAAAGATTCTAGTGATCTGAGAGGCTACAGACAGTAGCTATCTGCAGCATTTGCAAATTTTAACTTAAATATGAAAGAGAAAGGAGCAAAGGCACAAGTTTAATGTAAACTAGTTTTATTTTGAGGAACTGGAAATTAGCAGTGTAATTGTCATATCAGAACTTTCAACTCTGTGTCATTAGTTTGAATTCAACTCAGATCAGTAATGACCTAAAACAATTAGGTGACATCTGATTGGCTATTCAGTTGCCTGTGTGAAATGAGATTGTGATCTCAGGATAGTGCCTAGTGAAAATATGTCAAAATCAACACCACAGCAGCTGGCACACTTAATGCCATTTTTGGCACGGAAGCAATGTGCGTAGAGGCTGTACTCCCTCTGTAATACAGAGCTGGTTCATTCCCATCCAGATTAAATACATTGACGATACAGTTTAGGTAAGCTTGGAATGCTCATGTTTGAAATGCTAGTGTAGTTTTGAATACTGTGGTGTCCAAGATTTTCAGCCTTCTTCCTTTTATGAATACTAATTCACTTTAAAAATACATAAAACAACGAAATCTTATTCTATTTCCTTATTGAAAGGAATATACAGAATAAATAAAACTTGGAGAACACATATCTTATGCTGGTGGGATGACTGAGAGCTCCCATGTTCTAAAGTAGTTTGAATCTTGAAATTTGGTACATTTTGTTAATTACAGGCCATTAAGTTGATCAGAGGAAAATCAGAGATTTGACCTTTTGAGTTTTCCTATTGGGGGCACCAACAGGTCATCAGTCTTTTTTAATTAGATTTCAAGTGTCCTTTTGAGCTACAGCCTGCTTATTTGTTATAGTCATTTATTATGGAAGTGATTCAGAACTATGGGTACATATATCTTTGGGGATACACAGAATTCTTCCAGGTTTTATGTCCACTCATCTAGATACAGGAGTCCCTTGTGATTCACAGAATCACTATTTGCGGTTCTGTGTATTCACAGGTCTCCTGTCCTGGTCTTGAGAGAGCCAGAAGGGAACTCACCATGGGGAGCCGCAGCTCCCAGTATTTGCAAATTTTGCCATTCGCGGTGGATGCAGGAACGTATCCACTACAAATGGTGAGCGTTTCTTGTATTTGCCTAGTTCAGTGGCTTTTTTACCTAAGTCTCACAACCCCCAAGTGGTTCTTGGGACATGGGTTTAGCAGAGGATCCCAAGTGCAGAGCTGGCATTAGGGAGTAGCCGGCGGAGAACTGCGTGGTGAGCAGCAAACCTCCGCCACATTGTAAGGAGGCAGCCGAAGCCCCGCGCAGCTGCCAGTGACCAGTGAGCTGGGGAAAACCAGCCGCCAGCTGCAAGTGGGGCCAGAGGAGAGGGAGCGAGGCACCTGGCCAGAGGGGGTCACTGGGGAATGGCGTGGCGAGCAGAGAACCTCTGCCGCTTTGCAGGGAAAGCCTCGTGCAGCTGCCATCCACCAGCCGGCCCTAGGGGAAATCGTGTTATTACAGGGACAGGTCGTGTTGTTTGAAAAATGTTCCCCCCCCCAAAAATCATGCTATCACGAAAACGTGTTAAGCGGGCACGCGTTAAGTGAGGAATTACTGTATAGTCATGCTGGGCCAGCCCTTCAGTTGGTATAAATCAGTATGTCATATTGATATCAACAGAGCCAGGCAGATTTACAGCAGTTGAAGTTCTGATTATCCAATAACGTTGAGGAGGCTAAGAAACCCCCAGGATTAATTTCTTGGAATTTTCTTGAGATTCTCAGTTGGGGTCTGGGATGAGGTTTACAAATTCTACTCTCAGCAACACAGCATGAGTCAATGAACCTAGCACACATCTGTGTAAAGAGCATCAGGTTGCAAACCCCTCTTCTGGTTCCTCCAGAACCTCTTACTGAGATTCCAGTTGCACATTTCCCTGTACCTCCTGGTCAGGGCAAACCTCATCCTGTAGCCTCCATGTTAATCTTCTAGTGCTAGCCCAAGATTTCCATCCATTCTACCAGGAGGAAGAAACTGGAGAGAGCCATATTCCACAATGTGAGGCTTATTTCCAATCCCTGATATGATCGTGTCTCCAGGAAAAGTTCCTCTGAGCAGTGTACACTGATTCCCTAGACACCTGTGTGGAGCAGCAGGTTCTCTCTGGGGTTCTCTGCTCAGTGTTATGCTCCAGTTTCTTGATTTTCAACTTTTGATCTCAGTGCTGCTCCTGGTTTTTTCATTTATTGTCCTCAGTAATCAGTTATTGCCTGGGCTTAGTGGTTACTTTGCTTAATTGAGGAGGAACACCTTTTAGTTATGGGTGGTGCTAGACCTGCTTGCCCCAGTATTACAAATAGTTCAGGGTTAATGAGCTACTATGAGCTCAGTTGATTCTGCCTTGCTACACCTGTTAGAGATATCAGAATTGGAGGGTGGAGCTTAAAGGGAAAAAATTCAGCTGAGTTGGGGGGCAGACCAATGTGGAGAGCAAATCTCCAGTCTTTAGCTACTGGACCAAGTTCTGGCTAAAGACTAGAACTCCTTAGCTGATTACTACCTGGCCACACCTCCTCAAAGGAAAAAAGGACCTGTTATGGATCCACTTATGATGGACTTAATCTTTGATGCTGGCCCATGAGTCTACTTGGGGCCCGCTGTTTTATGGAAGCCAAAGAGAGGACTCTTATTCCATGTTTCATTTGCTGTTACGCTATTTGTGTTTACTGACAAACCCTGGAAGGTTTGGACTATCTGGGGCCTGAGCCTCTTAAGACCAAACTAATGCACTGAAATTTCAAGACACCACCGAACAAATATCTGAATGTATTCTGGGTCTGGGTCTCGAGGATGGTCCAATGCAGAAACACTGGAGGCAAGTCCATAGAAGAGTCGAAGTCCACTGAGGAGGCAAATCTAATCCTACCTATTGCATGGATCAGTGAGGAAAGGAAACCCAATTCTTTCCTATTTCAACATGTTTCTGTATATTGGCAGTGTGTGGCTAATGTGGCACCTGAGAGACCTCCATCCTTGAAGTTTGCCTGCACATTATTGCATGTCTACACACCAGCGTTATTTCAGAATAACCAACGTTATTATGGTGAGCTGGAGGACTTCTTATTCCGACTCCTGTAACCTTCGTTTCACAAGGAGTAAGGGAAGTTGAAGGAAGAGTGTTCTTCCTTTGACTTCCTGCTGTAAAGACAGCACCAAAAGCCGAATTAAGCTATTTCGACTTAGCTACGCAATTGACAGAGCTGAAGTTGCGTAGCAGCATTAATTTTCTCCTTCCCCATGGATCGTTGTTTGAGACTGACAGGAACATACCTCTTATATGCATCTTTTTCTGTAGCCCTTTCCACCATCCTTTCATAGACCAGAATAGCATTTTTATTTTGGTCTTCCCTTTTTTAAACCAACAACCCTTGTCTGTTTGCTCAGGGTGTTGCAGATATTGCCATATTTACACTACAGGCGTATGGTTACAAAACATTAAGTGTTACTAAATGTCACTTGCATGGGTTGTATACTTCGCTGTCATGCTGAGTGGGAGATCATAGGTACAGAGGCAGAAACTTGGGCTTGTAATGGGAGAATGCACCTCATGTGGTTTAAGTCAGGTCCAAGAAGGGACTATGTCAGCCCCCTTTTAAAATTCCACCCTCAAACTGAAAGGAAGTTTGGGATGATTTCAGGCTCTTTCTGTATACTGAAAAGTGATTCTTGCTAGAGAGGGTTTATCCTGAAAGTTCAAATCTTTCTGATGAGCAATATTTTTGCCTTTACATATAGACCAGATTGCATCAAATGGCAGATATTTTAAATCTGTATCTCCTCAATGAGCCCCCTTCAAGGTCTTTATCCTCCAGCCTTCCCACTTCAAATTATACAGGCTGATCACTGCTATCAATTTTCTCAGGTTACCTTTCAGAAACAAACTCTGAACTCTTTGGCTTCATCTAGACTGCAAGCTTCTTTCGGAAGAAGCTTTTCCAGAAGAGATCTTCCAGAAAAACCTTTTTTGAAAGAGTATCTACACAGCAAAAATGCACTGAAAAAGTGATCAGCTTTTTCGGAAGATAGCGTCCATACTGATTAGCGTGCACACTATATTGCATTTCAGTTGTGATTACTGTGGATGGAGTGGCCACCAGGGCACCTGTGCTTTTTTCCTGGAGCCCTCTTCTTTCAAAAAAACACTCTCTTCCACGTCCACACACACCTTTTTCCGAAAAAGCTTTTTCAAAAAAAGGCTTCTTCCTCATAGAAAGAGGTTTACCGCTGTCGGAAAAACCCCTCTGTTCTTTCGACTTTCTGTCAAAAGAATGCAATAGCAGTGTGGATATAAGTGTAGTTTTTCTGGAAAAATGGCTCTTTTTCTGGAAAAACTCTGCAGTGTAGACATACCCTTCCAGGAAAAGGCAGATTAATATATTTTTGAGCCCAGTGCATTTAGGGCAACATTTATAAGAATTTTTAAAGGTCCCGAAACAAACAAATTCTGTGTCTTCCCTATCTGCTAGCCCGTGTACACCAGGTCCATAGCATGGCTTACTGGTTAAGAGGTGTTTATCCAGGACATGCTCATTGAGGTGCAGTGGCTGTGATCATGCAGTGGCTGTGAGCATTGCTGAGGGAGGAGGGTAGGTTCAAGGGTGAAGAAAATAAGGTTGCGGGGGCAGCCACCAGAGGTAGCTGGATGGCTGTTGGTGTTGTTGGAGAAACCTCATGATGCTTTGGGAAAGGGTTGACCGAAAGGGAGCTTTGTTCTGTTTTCTCCCAGCACTCTATTTACTGCTTGGACTTATTCAATGCATCCTATTAATTTAGTATAAATTCAGCAGGGACAGTGCATTTGGTTATTTTGATATAAATTCAGGTTTCCATAAAATCTCTGGTAGCTATGCTATACCTCCCTGTGGTCTTCCTACAATGGACTTTAGCTTAGAGTTAACCTGGTTGGGATGCTTTCTTGAAAGAGGGCCCCAAAGAGTTAATCTTGAATAATGGAATCACTAGAATGTTGTTAAAAACACTACTTTAGCTCAAGAATGTTTCATTCCCTACCCTTTTGTTGCTGATAAATCACTTATTGTTCAAGAAGGCTGTTGTTAAGTGATAGTTTCTGAAAATTAATTGCCTATTTGCTGGAACACTTACATTATTGTCTTCCCTGCAGGCAATGTGCATTCAGATCTGCTTCATAACTACCAGAGTAGAGATGACATCCTCATCCTGGCAGTGCGGGTGGCTGTCATTTTTGCAGTCATACTCACAGTGCCAGTGCTGTTTTTCACTGTAAGTATAAGGCTCCGTGCAGTTTGGGAATAGCTAAAGATCTGTAGTAGGTGCACTCTCCTAAATCAAGGCTGGCTTATGTGTGTGGCTTGGTTTTTGAATCAGTGACACACTACGGAGTGTACTTGATCTTGCAGGTACTTTTCAGATATTAAACTCCCATTCACTCCAGTGGGAGTTCTGGATGAGAGATAAAGAAAATATCTTATAAATAAATTAATCACTCTTGGAATTGGAAGGTGTTAAGTTGATTTTAAATGAAAACACATAAAGGTCTTATCCTACCCTATTGATCTCTTAGGGGCAAAGTCAAGGATAAAATTCATCCAAGAACAAAGGAAACACAGAAATCCTTTTCAGTAACCCTGTTGCAATAGGACTCTTAATGAGAGAACGGGGCGAACTGACCATGAGATCAGCCTCCATTTGTCCTCTGTGTTGCAGGGATCGAGGAGCTCTGCAGAACATCTAAAGAGTCTGCAACAGAAAGGGACATTAGGGGCTGGCTGGGAAAGAAGTCACTGACTCCACAATTATGTAGCTCCAGTAGATTCAACATCTCCCCACCCATGTATATGATGTTATTCCATCCTAATACGTAGACTGGAATGGCAGCCACAGAGAGGCTATATTGCAGAGTTGGATGGAAAAGAATTTCATTTCCTTCCCATCACTGTTTAATTCCACACACAAAGCCGATTACGTAAGCTTTCACCCTAGCAGAACAGCAATTAATTTAGAAGTAAAAAAATGTACATTTTAACATACTCCCCCATCTCTGTCAAGAAATATAATCTGGCGGAAAATATATTCGTACAGACCCACAAAAATCCAGTTCTCTGATTCTAAGTTCAATGTAAAGCTTTCTCCAAAAGCAGTATATTTGAGTCCTCCAGAATTAGTGGGACATCTATACAAATCTCATTGTCATGCACAGAAACAATAAAAATCAGTATATGTGCTTGAATGGGGCATGCTTTTCCTAACAGATAACTCTTCTTTTACCTATAGGTGCGTTCTTCTTTGTTTGAGCTGGCTAAAACAACAAAGTTTCACTTATGCCGTCATGTTGTAGTTACTCTTGTCCTCCTGGTTATCATCAACCTGTTAGTAATTTTTATCCCCTCAATGAAGGATATTTTTGGAGTTGTAGGTACAGTATTCTCATTTTATACTAACAATAAATAGCTATTGTTAGCAGATGTGAAATTCCACAATATCTAACATTTATTTGAATGTTACAGGAGTAACTTCTGCCAATATGTTGATTTTCATTCTTCCTTCATCGCTGTATTTAAAAATCACACATCAGGATACAGAAAAATTTACTCAGAGGATTGGGGTATGTTTTTCTGTAGATCAATTTAGTGCTTTTCCTGTTACTCATTAAGATGTATTAGATTGAAAACAGATCTAATATGATTGTCTGAACATATGTGACCTTATCCATGTTATCCCTGTCCTCCATCTAGCTGTCACACTCCTGTGCATTAGCTTGTCTTAAATTAGATTGTAAGCCTATTGGTGCAGGAACCCTATTTTCTTGAGTGTTTGTACATCACCTAGCACACTGAGACCTTGATCTGAATGGGGTGTCTCTTGGGAGGCTTGCCAGATGTACCACAGTTTAAATAATAGTTATCCCTAACAAGGTTCTGAATCCCTTGAAGTTGGGCAGCAGCAGAATTGCCACCATAGCAACTCGTTGCATGAAAGAACATGCAGTGTTTCATGTTTGCAGCGCTTCACGTTTGTTTTAAGGGATCACAGTCAAATTTTGGGTGCCCCTTGCAAAATGAGTCAGCTCTTCACTATTTGTGAGTGAACAGGACTGAAAATTTGATCTTAAAGTTTTTAGTGGCTGTCAAGTGAAGTTTGCAGTCCAGAAGATGTCACAATCTTATGTGTTCCCATACTGAAATTAGAACAAAAACTTCCCTGGGTAAGATGAAAGATCCTGCTAGTTTCCCAGCTGTGAATATGATCATGGAAGATTTTGAATAGTCACTATGGATTGCACTGTCAGAACCAGCACTTCTGTTATCATGCCTTTGGTTTTGGTCATATTACAATAGTCAGGACTTGATGAACCACAGCGAAAGCCGCTCGCCAGCCCTGCACCATGCATGCACAAGAGCCGCATTGCGCATGTGCGCTCCGCTGGTAAACGGGGCACTGGGCTGAAATCTACTCACCATGGGCGAGTAGATTCAATAGATTGTCGAGCCCTGACAACAGTGATATAGATTAATATTATTTGATTCCTCCATAAATAAGAACTTCATTTCGGCCAGGCTTGTAATCCCATAGTTACTGCTCTGCACTGGCAAGCAAGAATCTTAGGTTACATATGTGAGTTAATTCACTATCTCCATAAAATGACAGTGACTGAAATGCTGTGCAAGTAGACCCTCACAGGATGATCTAATGCATGTATTTTACTTCATTCTGCAATGAGCTCTTTGGCTTGTCTGAAAGACTCCTTCCCTTTTTCTCTTCCAGGCTTCTCTTTTCATGGCATTGGGAATATTGTTTTCCCTAGTGAGCATTCCTTTGGTCATCTATGACTGGGTATACTCGGGAGATAGAGCTGAAGGCCACTGAAGTCAACATCATGCTGAAATGGATACACCCCTGTTTGTTACTCACCAAAGTCACCACCATTCCGTTTGGTTATCTATCCCATCCACTATGCGTTTTCTTCAAATCAGATCCAAATAATGAAATACTGATATAGATGTATTTTCTTGAAGAAAATTAGTTTCTCCAGTTCTAGTGAGTTATGACCTCAATGTTAAGGTTATGTTGATTGTCTGCAAAGTTTTATCTGGTTTTGCTACTTGGTTCCAACTATAATTATTTTTTTACTCTTCTGGCCATGAATTGGATTATTCTTGTAGTAATATTAAAACATCCAAACCATAACATTGAGTCCTTTGGAGCAAGCAGTGTTTTGTTTTGTTCACAAACCCAGATTCTGTATTAGTTCTCATAAATGACGTTGTGTTCTCACAATCTCTTTGTTAACCAAAACTTTTTCTTAAATTGCATACATTTGATCCGGCTTTTCATTACTATTTGTAAACTATTTCCCCTCATTTATTAATTGCAGCATTCTGAAATGTGTTTATGTTATGTCCTACACTTGGTGCTGCTCTTTGTAAAAAAGTCTTTGAAGCAGACAGCCCAAGTGGTTGAGCTGATAGCACGTCAAACTACCATGCAAGGACACACACTCAATCAGGTGCTTAAGGAACTGACCAGGGGCCATGCGCATCTTAACCTGCTGCTCACAAACAGGCAGGAACTAGTAGGGGGAGTAGATGTGAGTAGCAAACTGAGCAGTAGTGATCAGGAGATGGTAAATTTTAAGATTCTGGCAAAAAAAAGAAAGGATGACGTTCAACAAGGATAGAATCCCAAGTATTGTTACAGGCTGGGGACCAACTGACTAAGTAGCAGTTTAGCAGAAAAGGATAGTGGATGAAAAGTCAACAGTGTGCCCTTGTAGTCAAGAAGGCTAATGGCATATTAGGAGGAGCATTTCCACCAGATCTAGATAAGTTATTATTCCCCTTTATTCGGCACTGGTGAGGCCATATCTGGAGTATTGTGTCCAGTTTCCTCCCCCCCCCCCTGTTGGGCCCCCCACTACACAAAGGATGTGGACGCATTGGAGAGAGTCCAGTGGAGGGCAATAAAACGATTACAGGGCTGGAGCACATGACCTACGAGGAGAGGCTGAGGGATTTGGGCTTGTTCAGTCTGCAGAAATGAGGGGGAATTTGATAGCAGCCTTCAGCTTCCTGAAGGGAGCTTCCAAAGAGGATGGAGAGAGGCTGTTCTCAGTAGTGACAGATGGCAGAACAAGGAGCAGTGGTTTCAAGTTACAGGGGGGAGGTCTAGGTTGGATATTAGGAAAAACTATTTCACTAGGAGGGTGGTGAAGCACTGGAACGGGTTACCTAGGGAGGTGATGGAATCTTCATCCCTAGAGGTTTTTAAGTCTCGGCTTGACAGAGCTTTGGCTGAGATGATTTAGTTAGGGTTGGTCCTGCTTTGGGCAGAAGGCTGGACTTGATAACCTCCTGATGTCTCTTCCAGCCCTAGGATTCTATGAGTAACCTTAGACCAAGAGGAATATTAAATTTTCACTTTAAAAAAAGGGGGATTTTTCAAGGAAACAAATTTTAATCCCAGATTTGCACACACATACCCCTCCTGAGCTACGCATCAGCTGTCAGTACTATGCTACAGGTTTTACCTCCCTTGACCGTGACTCTCTGGTCCTGCAACATCCGTGGTCCGGCATGGACCATCTATGTTCTTGGACCACAGAGCCCAGGAACAGAGAGGTCTGGTGGTGGGGCAGGCGCGCCACAGGGGACACAAGCGACTCAGCAGGGATCCCAGTGTTTGTATGTGTGTGGTGGTGGAGGATGGGTGGCATGGCAGGGAGTTCTGGCACCAGCGAGGCTCCATGGCCCGAGCAGCTGTGGGGCTCTAGCCTGGCAGCAGCCATGGAATTCCAGATACAGCCAGGGAGTTCCGGATACAGCCAGGAAGCTCCAGCTCCAGCGGCAGCAAGGGAGCTCCAGCCCCAGCCACAAAGCTCTGGCCCACACCATGGAGCCAGGTGACAGCGGAGCTCTGGCTGTAGCTGCAGAGCCAGGCAGCTGCAGAGGTCTGCCCCATTTGCGCAGATTTGGCTGTGGCGCTCTAGCCCTGGCAGCAGCAGGGCCAGTGGCATCTACAGAGCCCTAGGGAACTGGGGCAGCAGCAGGGGCAGGCTGGAGCCCTAAGCCAGCGGCAGCATGGCCACAAGGAGAGGGACCTTGCTTGGTCTGGCAAATCCCCTTGTTCGAGACCAGTCAGGACCCATGGGTGCTGGACCAGCAAGGACCAACCTGTACTAGCCCTTTGGTAGGAAGCGCACTGAACATTTGAAAACAACCAGGAAAAGGCAGAGCTGATTTCTGTGTGAAATGAAATAGTCAGAAATATGCAGTTTATTCCATATAAATCTACTTCTAAATACAGCTATACCTTTAAAGAAAAAATGAAAAACTCCAGTTATAGCAAAAACTACCACTATTAGCCATACTTAATGTCAAATCCATACTAAGATAGTTTTGCCTGTACCTAAGGCTGATCTTGTAAAGAAGTTAACTTACTGTCCAGGGTCAGGCCTTCTCCAACTGAAGTCAATGTGAGTTTTGACTTCAGTGGGAACAGGCTCAGGCCCTTATACAAAACTGGACTGTCAATTGGAATCAAGCTAGATTTTCATTTTGTAACATCTCTTTAAGTAGAACACTTTTTATATTTTAAAAAGTCCAATTTCTGTTTGTTCAATATCAAACAAAATATTGCAGAGCCACTCTTAATTTTGCACTTGTTATCTACAAGCTAGTGTTTGTGTTGTGGCATATTGTCTATGTGGAGAATTGCTGACATTATCAATTCAGATACTAAGCAGGCGATCTTATATAATCACATACTGAATCATTGTTAGTACTAGTGTACTGCCAGGAACATGCATTTGTTCATGTTGTATTGTTACTGAGGTGTCAATTAGAGTCCTGCTGTCATACAGGTGTGCAAGGTTCCTAGCAACAGAACTAATGGCTAACAGGCATCCTGATGCACATTCAGGGTTTGAATGATGATCTTCGTAAGTTCAGGTATACCTGCCAATTTGTGATGACACTCATTTTCAGTGGCCAATTCATTTTATGCTCACACTATAACTAAGGAAAAAGAGACTAGGATTAGCAATAGTATCTGGATATTATGTGTCACTACAACTTTTTCTTTTTACAGACCTGATACTTCAAGATACTGAAATTCCTGTGAGCTGTTGAATGGCCTTCACTCCTATTGCCTTGTCCTGACATTACTTGAAGTCATTAGAAGTTGAGGTCACTTAATAACTTGCAGGAAGGGCTCAGGACCTGGAGGGTTCTGACCCTATGGACTTGGTCTATGCAACATAGTTATCTTGACATAAGACAGTTTATGTTGACCTGCTTATGTCAGAGTACATGCTACAGCCTGTCCCACCAGTGTAAGTGCACTTCTCCACCAGTATAATAACTCCACCTACATGAGAGGGGATACGCTTATGTTGGTATAGTGCAGTGCAGTGTCTATGGAGATACTGCATCTCTTTTATCAGCTTTCTTGTCAGTTTCATGGCAGGAGCCCCTGCTCCCCTGGAGAGCTGGGTTGCTGGACCCTGCTCCCAGCTGGTAGTTACCCATGCCAGCTGCAAGTGGGGAGTGGTTATGGGGGCAAGAAGCTGGAGCAGAGAAGCCTTAGTTGGCTTCCCTTGGCTCCCTTTCAGGAATGGGCAATGAGAAGCCTGAAATAGCTTTACCCCACTCCTAGTGAGGAACAGGGAGCCAGGGAGTGGGGAAGCCTGCTAGGAGCCCAGAAGCCTGTGCAGGAGGTGGGTTCTAGGCAGGGACCTACCAGCAGAGCTGCCAGATTGGCTTCTCACCTCTGCAGTCTCTCCCTTTTAGTTTGGTGGAAATGCTCCTGGAGAACACATGCACCATTGAAACAGGTAGAGCAATATAGACATGCACCACCACATTAATTACTGCAGTGGCTGTCAGTAAACCTAAAAGACTAATTTTAGCCTGTGAAAATTTCAAAGGTGACTGTGTTATGTCTTTCTCCCTCCTATTCCCTTTGCCTTCCGTTTTCTGCTGCTGACAGTATAGGTTTCTGAGTTGATGGGACTGTGGCAGAGGAGATATTGAGGGGGATTTTAAAAGGCACAAATGAGTTATATGCCCAACTCTCCGTGGTTTTCAATGAGAGTTCAGCACTCTCCTCTTTTACTCTTCCTCACCCTCTTTGTTTCCTTCCTCAATTTACCTACTAGAGGATTATTGTATTTGAACTGACTGCAATTTCCCCTAGGCATAGAACCATCACCATTTCTAGCCTGAAAGAAAGGGCTGAGTCCTTAAACAGGCTGAGTGCGTCTAGACTGGCAAGATTTTGCGCAAAATCTTGCCTCCTGTCTGCACTGGCCGCGAGTATTTGCACAAGAACACTGACTTTGTACTGTACAAAATCAGTGGTTCTTGCGCAAATATTTTGATGCTCCCGCTCAGGGATAAGCCCTCTTGTGCAAGTATTCTTGCGCAAGAGGGCCAGTGTAGACAGGCAAGTTAATTTCTTGCACAAGAAAGCCCAATGACTAAAATGGCCATCGGAGCTTTCTTGCGCAAGAGAGCGTCCACACTGGCATGTCTTTTGCGCAAAAGCATCCGTGCCAGTGTAGACGCTCTCTTGCGCAAATACTTTTAACTGAAAAACTTTTCCGTTAAAAATATTTGCGCGAAATCATGCCAGTCTAGACACAGCTGCTGTGTACTGGCATGGGAATTTCACTCAGATGGATTTACTGACTTCATATATATATAGCTATTTATGGAAAGGAATAACATGTATGTTGATGTCTGTGCTACAGACCGTGAAATAATATACTTTTTTATTTTCTCATCAGGTTTATACATTCTTAACAGAAGGCAGTTGACTCTGCTGTAACAGACAGAATCACTGATGCATGACATTATTTGTATAGGGTTATCTGTAAAATGTACTGATATTATTCAGTTTGGAATAGTGAATTTGTAGCCAACAAAAGTATGTCCCATATTTTAGCTAGGATATTGAGAGCACTGTAAAATGCTATACGAGTTCCTCTGTTAAATTAATCGGATCCAGAGTACTGTATCTCCTTAGTAGGTGGCAGCATGCTTTCTTTTCCTAGAGAATTTGTCACTTGTGGACACTGCAAATTCATAGGCTGGACATAAAACTAGTTAAACTATTTTGTTACCGTTATTGGGAGTGGAGGAAGTGGTTTCAAGCAGGAGTTCCTAATACTTTATTAGGAATAGATCCTGAGTTAG